TATCTTTTCATTGAGAGCTGCACTTGGACACTACTTATTTTCAGGGCAGGAGGGTTTTGAAGAAAACTCACCAGAACATATAGTTATACCTGTACTGTCACAGGGTTTCTCAGGGGTAACTATTAAAAAGGGAAATGGACTAAAAAAGTGCCAAGCTGTTATTCTTCTGCCTTTAGCAAATTCTAGGTTTCCTTAATTGAATTTTTTAAAAATTAAAATCCTCATTTAAATGCCATCTATTTGTTCATTATAGAAAAGTCAGAAATTATAATCAAGCAAGGGGGCAGGGAATTGGTATATATCTGCCTACATTTTCATATATATTTATCTTTTTAAGTAAAATGAGGTCATACCACAGAAAAATGTTTCACAACTTCTCCAATTATAATATACCATGAACATTCTCAATGTCAAACACATTTCTACAATATCAATAGTTGTGTAGTCATAAACTGTTCTGGGAAGTTCCATCTTAAGAAACCACTCCATTTAATTTCTTCATATCTCATATAGCACAAAGATGAATACCCTTATAGTTAAACCACTATACAGCCTTAATTATTTCCTTAAGATAAATTCTCAAATGGAATTGCTGAGCAAAATTATCTCATGCACAGTTTTTAAGGGCTTTGGTAAATGCTGCCAAACTGCCCTCCAGAAAGGCTGAAACTGCAATGTACATTCCCTCTAGCTATGTTGCTCCTGTTGGGTGCCGTGGAGTAGATTCAGACTCATCGGGAACCCCCATATGACAGAGTAGAGCGGCTCAACAGGATTTCTGTGGCTGCAATTTTTTTTTAATTATTGTAGTTTAAATGAAGATTACAATTCAAGTTAGTCTCTCATACAAAAATTTATACATGCATTGTTATGTGACCCTAATTGCTCTCCCTATACTGTGACAGTACACTCCTCCTCTCCACCCGATTTCCCCTGTCCATTCAACCAGCTCCTAACCCTCTCTGCCTTCTCATCTCACATCTGGACAGAAGTTGTCCATTTAGTCTCATGTATTTACTTGAGCTAAGAAGAAGCACACTCTTCATATCATTTTATGTCCCACAGTCCAGTCCAATCTTTGTCTGAAGAGTTGGCCTTGGGAACTGTTTTAGTTCTGGGTTGACAGAGTCCGGGGGCCATGCTTTTTGAGGTTCCTCCAGTCTCAGTCAGACCATTAAGTCTGCTCTTTTTACTAAAATTTGAGTGTTGCATCCCACCCTTCCCCCCGCTCCATTAAAGACTCTCTGTTGTGTTCCCTGTCAGGGCGGTCATTGGTGGTAGCCAGGCACCATCCAGTTCTTCTGGTCTCAGGCTGATGAACTCTCTGGTTTATGTGGCCCTTTCTGTCTCTCGGGCTAATACTTTCCTTTTTTTAGTATTCTTCATTCTCTTTTACTCCAGGTCGTTGGGACCAACTGATGCATCTTAGATGGCCACTTGCTAGCTTTTAAGACCCCAGACGCCACTCACCAAAGTAGTATGCACAAGATTTTCTTAATAAACTTTGTTATGCCAAGTGACCTAGATGTCCCCTGAAAGCATGGTCCCCAGACCCCCGCCCCTGCTACTCTGTCCCTCAAAGTGTTTGACTGTATTCAGGAACTTCTTAGCTTTGGTTTAGTTCATGGCTGTAATTTTTACAGAAGCAGATCACCAGGTCTTTCTCATAAGGAGCCGCTGGGTGGTTCAAACCACTAACCTTTCTATCAGTAGCCGATCACTTAACGATTGGGCCACCAGGGCTCCTTCTTCTAGCTATAAGAGAACTAACTGTAGGAATTTTAACAAATGCAAAAGCACAGAATATGCTGTTACCTATTGACAGTCCACCCACTTCCAGAACAACTTTAACATAGTTATTTCACTGACCTTAACAACCTCTAGGATGCGAACCGCACTAGCAAAATCATTTAACCGTCTGCATGCCCGCAAAGCAGCGTCGATGATTTTGGGTTCTGGAACCAGATCATAGCCAACAAGTGTGTTCATCCCTGTCAAATTAAAAGAGGGCCATGTCAACCTGGAACATCACACCTGCAAAACCACAATTTAGTAATCTTTTTATTGAACCATGGCCATGTTATCTGTTAGGGCCTCTATTTTCTATAAGGACCTTTAGGAAAATCTAGATGATAAGATCACAGTGAATTAATGGAAAAAACTATGCAGCAGCATGCAAATTGAAGAACAAATATGCAAATACCATTTTCATAATAATTAGCTGGTTTCTATTCAAACAAGCGGGCCATTTTCAACTCACATCTGTAACTCTTAATGCAATGTATGTTCTTCAGTTGCTTAAAAACAGATTTGACTGAAAACAATCTAAAACCACCAAAGAAATGCTTAAGGAGAGTTAATGAAGCCCAAATGAGGACATTAAGGAGATTTTATAGAGAAACATTAGTGCAGAGACTCAGAAACATTCAACCAGAAAATGACTGGGCATGATTACTTTTGGCTCTACACAAAATGACACATCATCAAATTTAAGATTCTCTTAATGGGAACGCAGAACTGCTGTTCTTTTCATTACTTCTACTCAAGATAATTCAATAAGAATTTCCCTGGGTGCAGCAAAACGGAGTCACTACATTTCCTGCAGAGAAGCTTGAAGCACTTAGGTTTCTTGCTTTTATTTATTTAAAAATATTTAAACAAAGGACACCAGTGAACAAAATGCTAGAATACAGTCACAGAGACTGAATTACTCTCCACTTAAAATTAGTGACTAGTTATCATTAATGCTATTTACCCATTTTAAGTGGGCATTTACAATTTAGGAAAAACAAGTTCCTAGCTTACTTAGAATGGACATTTATTCAGGGCCAAGACAAATCTTAACTGAGAACAGAAATAACAAACAAACAACTCAAACCATTACCCAGAGGGAAAGAGAACCAAGTGACCACTATGTAAGTTATCTGAAAGGTACAAAACTGTTAACTCTTTTTTTTTTAATCTTAACAATATATTATGGATGTCCCTTCACTTTAACAAATACAGATTTTCTTTCCTCATTACTTTTTTTTCCAAACAATATTCTTTTTTTTTTTTTTTAATTGTACTTTAGATGAAGGTTTACAGAGCAAATAGTTTCTCATTAAACAGTTAGTACACATATTGTTTTATGACAATGGTCAACACCCTCCCTTCTCAACCTTGGGTTCCCTATTACCAGCTTTCCTGTCCCCTTCTGCCTTCTAGTCCTTGTCCCTGGGCTGCTGTGCCCCATTAGTCTCGTTTTGATTTACGGGGCTGTCTAATCTTTCACTGACGGGTGAACCTTGGGAGTGACTTTATTACTGAGCTAAAAGGGTGTCCAGGGGCCATACTCTCAGGGTTTCTCCAGTCTGTCAGACCAGTAAGTCTGGTCTTTTTTTGTGAGTTAGAATTTTGTTCTACATTATTCTCCAGCTCTGTCCAGGACCCTCTATTGTGATCCCTGTCAGAGCAGTCAGTGGTGGTAGCCAGGCACTATCTAGTTGTACTGGACTCAGTCTGGTGGAGGCCATGGTAGATGTGGTCCATTAGTCCTTTGGACTAATCTTTCCCTTGTATCTTTAGTTTTCTTCATTCTCCCTCGCTCCCGGAGGGGTGAGACCAGTGGAGTATCTTAGATGTCAGGCATTTTCTTTTCTTTTCTTTTTTATTTTAAGAAACTGTTAACTCTTGATCACTCTGACATTATCACTACAGTAGTGGTTCTCAACCAGGGGTGATTCTGTCCCCCAGGGGACATTCGGCAATGTCTAGAGACATTTTTGGTTGTCACACGTGGGGCAGCGGATGCTACTGGCATCTAGTGGGTAGAGGTCAGATGCTGCTGAACATCCAACAATGCACAGGATAGTCCTCCCTCTCGCAAAGAATCATCTGGCCCAAAATGTCAATAGTGCCAGCTTTAAAATCCTGCTGTATAGGAAATACTCACTAGGGAAGCCATAAACTTTCCTAACTGCAAGTTGCATGATGATAACCACTTTACATGATGCAATGCTTTCAAAAATAGTTGCTTTTGACAAAGTAGTGGAAGACTACACAGCAGTTCATATTTCCATACCAAAATAGACAAACATGCCTACGTTCCAATTACCTTTACGCAATTCCCAGGCATCGATATTTGGCTTGTTGAAGTATGTCACCCAGCGAGCATCAAACTCCTCATCTGTCTCATGAGACCCATGGGAGTAGCAGCGAACTGACTGGACAGCTACAATGGAGAAAAACCAGTAATTTTAATGTACAAAATAGTACTTATTTTATTTAATGCATTAAATTTTTGAACCAACTACATATGTCATGGCAGGGAAATTATTCAGCAGGTCAAATGAAATAAATCTTATCTACTGATATGGAAAAATATCTTAAAAAAATTAAGCAAAAAATAAAGCAAGTAGAACAAAGTATTATATATGCATTTTTCCCCCTACTGTCTAATCCTAGCTTAAAATTGTTAACAGTGGTTCCCTATGGGAGGAGTTTTTGTTTTAATTATTAACAGTGGTTATCTTTGAGAGAAAAACTGCCAAGCAGAGTATTAATTACTAATTAAAAATAATGTACAGTTCAGCTTTTAAACACATTTATAATATATATATTTTCTTAATAAATTTTAAAAAAACTTACACTCTCCATTAAATATTTAAAAATAAATTACACATCAGAACAAAACAATGATAATTTTAGATATTGTTTTATCAAACTACAGCTTCCTCCCCACAGATTCTGATAAACTGTCGGCGGGGGGGTGGGGGTGGGGGAGGCATACCTTCTGACCTACTCCCACTGAAAAAACATTGTTTTATAAGATTTCTAAGTGAGATACTTGAATATCACATTGTGAGGAAAACAGGCTTTTCCTTGCCTTTAGTATTCTGCTGTCAATCTACATACCCTTTGTGGTACCTTAAGAAAAGCTTTTCCATTTTTCTGTCTGCTTGTCAAACGGACATTGAATTGGGAGCTGAGAAATCTGGATTCCTTCTAGACAGTCTCTCTGATGGGGTGGCGGGGATCTTACCTTTAGGTCTTAGGAGGCAGCACAACCTAGTGCTAAGATACCTACCTCTAGGCTCTCGCTTACTCTCCCACTGTATACTCTTGGGAAAATTAGCTTAAGTTTGTTTCCTATCTGTAAAATGGGAATACCATATCTTAGCAGATTATGAGGATTAACTATAAAAGCAGGTAAAGCCTTACAGAGGGCTTGTCATCTGGTAGGTGTTCAATAAATGGTAGCTATAAATTAATCTTTATCTAAAAATATCTTAATTGATCTTCTATTTATGGAAATAATAATTTACAGAAACAAAACATTCCCCAAGCTGTATTTCCTGTTATACTTAAATTACCACGCAGCTATAGCAGAATGCCTATCATTAGTCCTGCAGGATCATAGCAGAAGTCCCAATCCTTCCAATGACTTACATTATCTCCACAACCCAAGCCCAGAATGAAGTGGGACATGTATATAATGGACTGAAATCAGGCATGTTTTAATTTCTATGACAAAAAAAAGAATGGATCTCTAGACCTAAATGTGTTTGATAAGTGAAAATACTTAATCAAAACCACATGCATATTTAATAAACCTCACAAAATGAATACATTCAAAATATCAGAAAGCAAAGGTTATAACAATGCTCTAACCCACTGTTTTCAAGACTGTATAACCTACTTTTTCAAAAACTAGAGCTGTCCTTAACGTAATACTTAAAGTGCAAGCGTAAAATGGTACAACGACTTTGGAAAACAGTTTAGCAGTATCTCATCAAGTTAACACCTACCATATAGCTCAGTAATTCCATTCCTAAGTATCTACCCAAGACAATGAAAATATATGTCCACACAAAAATATGTATACAGCAGCTTTATTATAGCAAAAAAAGGGAAATAACCCAATGCCCATCAATAGATGAATGGATAAACAAATGAAACACTACTCAACAATTGAAAAAAAAAACCTACCGATACAAGCCAACAACATGGATGAATCTCAAAAACATTAGCTGGAAGAAGCTAGACACAAAAGAATACACAGTGTAGAATTCCATTTATATGAAATTCTAGAAAATGCATACTAATCTATAATGACAAAAAGTAGAGCAGCGGTTGCTCGGGGTGGAGGGCAGAGGGCAGATGGACTGCAGAGGCAAAAGGCACCGTTTTCAGGGGATGGAAATAGTTTGTATCTTTTTTTTTTGTGGTAGGGGTCACAAAGCAGCCCTAGTGGAACAGTGGTTAAGTGCCCAGCTGCTAGAACCCCCCAGACACTTTGCGGGAGAAAGATGCAGCAGTCTGCTTCCATAAAGATTACAGCCTTGGAAACCCTATGGGGCAATTCTACTCTGTCCCCTAGGGTGGCTACGAGTTGGAATCAACTTGACTGCAATAGGTTATGGTAGTCACGTGGGTGTGAACTTTTGGCAAAACTCAAACTATACACTCAAAATAGTACAGTTCATTGTATGTAGTTGATTAAAAACCCATTTAGAAAAAGTAAACAACTGGCCCTTATATGACAGATTTGAACAGAAATACTTAGAACAGCATCCTAGCACATGATTGCTCTCGAGTGACATCTCTTTGGATCAATTTTGCTTTACAATAAAAAGATGCATCTGGGAAAAAATGAAAATTTGTTTTATAGCCATTGGCTACAGTTTCCCCTCACTGCTCTATTGAGAAATTAAGTCATAGCTACATAACCTTCCTTTCACAAAACATTACTGTGTAACTTCAGAGGTTTAATTTATCCATATGAGATCTCCCCTAATTAGCACCCCAGATCTTCGTTACAACTTTGATAAAACCTGCTAGAGCCTTGAAATACACGACACTGAAACTGGAACACTTGCCTGGAATTCAGGAGTGAGCCCCATTCGGTATTTACAAACTGAGTTAGTTGCCTATAGGAATTTTAGTCTCAAGATTAAAATGCTGTTGGTCTGGCACCTAAATCTGCCAAATTTAGGATACAGGGCTTCATACGGATCCAATGGCTGTCTTCATGAGGGTTTTCTCCCAATGACTAATAGCTAATAACCTAATGCTTCTGTGTGAAGAATAGTTTGAGAACCTGAGACCTGAATAATGGTTTTTATGAGACCAGGTTTCCCCTTCTTTACAATGTCAAAGGAGGCAACTGCCTAAAGAAATTAGGTTACTTTTCATCTTAATGAACTTCACCCATGCTCCCTTCCTGACTTAACCAATTCTCTCATCCTTAGGCTTTTAAAACAAAATACTGGTCCACCAACTAAAGCACCAACTCAGTATGAATATTAAACAGATTTTTGTCTATTTCCAATTAATTCACTAGCACTTGGTTTTAAGGAAAAAATCCTTACTATACTATACCAGTTGCCAATGAGTCAATTACAATTTATGGCAATTCCACATGTTGTCAGAGTAAAACAGTGCTCCATAGGGTTTTCAATGGCTGATTTTTCAGAAGTGATCACTAAGCCTTTCTTCCAAGGCGTTTCTGGGTGGATTCGAACCTCCAACCTTTCAGTTAGTAGCCAAGCACATTAACCGTTTGCACTACGCAGGGACTCTATCCTTAGTATATAGTTGTTTAGCATTAAAAAAAAAAATACTGTACTTACATGGTTTGGTCAGGTTGGTGTGGTTCATTCTGACTTAGGATCAATTGGGAGTCACACAGTGTAGCTCTTCTTTGTCACCTCTTTTGTTGATATTCTTCAAATTAGGTTACCAAAGCATAACTACTTTAAACTTTTTCATATTATAAATCATCTATACACTCAACTTTATCCACTGCAGTATACTAGGTAGTCTAAGGAAAAAAGGTGCCTACTACTCTTACCTATTGCCTTTGAAGAACGTAGTTTTTGAGTCATCAATATAATTACAGTCCTTCATTACAAAGGTTTTTAAAAAAAAAAAAGAAAAAAAAAAGCCCTCTGTGGGCAATATTTTCATGATAATTAAATGTGCTTTAATACATCCCAATCTGGTCAACTCTCAGTAAATACTTGCTCAGCTGAAGCACAATACATTAACACTCTTTACACTTGCGCTTCCTCCTTGGGAGGCAGAATGGGTAGGGTGGAAAGAGCTTGAGCTTTAGGGGCAGACTACCATGGGTTTTAATCGGGGCTCTGTAATTTACTGGCTGTGTGACTCGGCTGCTAACCAAAAGGTCAGCAGTTCAAATCCACCAACTGCTCCTTGGAAGCCCTACAGGGCTGTTCTACTCTGTCCTATAGGGTCACTATGAGTCGGAAACCACTCGATGGCACCTAACAACAACATACAGGCATTAGGACTCTGGGTGTTGCAAGCAGTTTGTGCTCAACTACAAACTAAAGGTTGGCAGTTGAAATCCACCTAGCAGCACCACGGAAGAAAGGCCTGGTAATCTGTTTCTGTAAAAATTACAGCCAAGAAAACCCTATGAAGCAGTTCTACTCTAGGACACATGCGGATGCCAGGACTTAGAATTGACTCAATGACAATGGGTTATACAGGCATTTAAACACAAACACACCAGCTTCACTTCCATGTAGCATCTCTGCCTAGTTTTGAGGCTTCTAAGCCAAGCTATTTTGGAAAACAATACTCAGTGCTTTTACACAACCGAAAGGTTCCAGAGTAGGAAAAGGGATGCAACTGTGAAACATGAGGACAATTTAGACTAAGTGACTAGTGCTAGGGCCTCAATCTAAAAATCTATTTGTAGTACTGCTTTTTGGCATTCAGTCAAGCACTCATTAAAAAAAAAAAAAAAAAGCTAATATATTTAGAAAAATTAAGGGGCTCATTAATCCCTTGGTTTTAAATATAGCTAAATCAGATGGCTTTCCATTTAGTAACTAATCAGCTTGGACAAACCCTAAAGAATGGATATATTGGTGGTGGTAATTCTAGGAGTGAGAGAAAGAAGTGAATAAAGTGAAGGGAACATTAACAGGTTCCAAAGCAAGTTTATTGAGATGCTTGGCTTAAATACGCCCTCCCACCCTTTCAGGTGTTACCCAGCTCTCAGGGTAGACCTGTAGGTGCCAGCTGCACAGGTTTTAATGATTGACTAAAGAACCTAACTGTTATTTAAAACATAATCATCTAGTTGAGCAGTTAACTGGAAAACAATTCAATTTCAACTTGGAGGCTTCTTCACAAACCAGAGGGGAATCTGGGTTGCTACTTAATTAGAGCAAACTTGACCCCTCAGGTCAATTCCTCTAGAGCTCTCTTTCAAGCATACTATCATTTGACCTAGGATAGCTTCATCCAAGAACCTTAATCTTCTTGACTTTTCAATTACACAAAATCTCTTCACTCCTATAGTGATAACAAATCCCAATGTATAATATGCAAAAAAATGAAATGCACTATAATAAAGCAAATATCTACTGTCTTAAGCATTTTCTATGTGCCAAGGGTTACATTATCTTATTTAAATCTCACAACTACCAAGTATTATCGCAAGTTTGGAGATGAAGCAACTGAGGCTTACAAAGGCTAAATAATATGCCCAAGGTCACACAAGTAGCGCCTGACAGTAGCTGATACTACTTGTAACCAATACTGCCTCCTTGTGGTAAATATTAAGGTGTATGGGAGAAACAAGGAGCCCAGATGGCAGAAACACCTAAATTAAAGCTTTTGTTACGGATTACACTTAGGTTGGGGAATGTAACACCTACAACATAAATCTCTGTGTTCAAACTTACTAAGAAAAGAGGAATTCCCTTAAACCACAATTTGCCAAAAACCTCTGATATTTTCCCAATCCACCATGAAAATGTAAGAAATCTCCACCAAAATCTATCTATATAAAAAACTTCAATAGTATTCGATACTTAAACAATTAGAGAAGAAACAAAAAACAAAAACTGACAAACATCAGGACGGGCCAAACCTAACAAAGAAACAGAAAATAGTTCCATCACCAGTAAAAGAGTCAATTTTCCAAGGTAGGCCTCAGTCTCCTCTTCTGTAAAACTAGATGGCCTCCATAGTCTCTTAAAGTGCACTCCAGCCTTAACATTCTATAATAAATTACAGAACGCAAAGTTTAAGCTGAATGAAGCAAGACATATTCTACAGGTTCTGAAATGTCTAGCTAAAACACCCAAAATAGTCAAGAGAACAACGTTACTACTAGCTTTGAGCTTCTGAGATGTTTAAATATGCACACTTAGGGGCTGAATTTCATAATGTTATACTACCATCATGGACCGTGATAAAGTGTAGTTACTATAACTATATGTACAGTTCTGGACACAACACGTCTCAGAACACATAAAAGGGAAAGTAAAATAGAAGACAAGAATTAGCAGCACGTCATACTCCAGCAATCAGGATTCTAATCCGAAGAAAAAAAATGAAGCTTTCTCATGTTTGTAAAATCCAGGATCCCTGGATCTGTGGTACTCAATTTTCCAAACAGTAATATTCTTATCAAAGGACCTATCAGCATTCAGGATCTCTCGATCTCAGGAAACATGTAAATCCATTTCAAACGTGGAAGAATTAGAACGTGGCATAAAAACGAAACCACCAAACCCACTGCCGGGAATCGATTCCGACTCATAACAGCAGTCCCTAAAATTGACAGAACGGCTGTGAAGATGACATACAAAACGTTAACTGAAAGAAATGCCTGATTAAACAATGCATATATACTGTGTTCACACGGAAGCATATTGTGTCCTCGGAAAACGTTGGGGGCGACGGCGCCCGGATCCTGGAGGTGCCACCCCCGCCCCCACCCTGAACGACGCGCCCAGCGGCTCAATGTCACCTTCGCCGAGGCGCTGCAGGCCGGCGGCGGCCACTCCAGGCCAGGTGACCGCGGGGCCAGCGCCAGGACACGGTCACGGCCCGAAAACTGAAGGGGCCCGGTGGACGCGGAAGAAGCCGCGGTACCCGGAAGCGCTGCGCCCGCTCCTCTGTCCGCCCGAACCTGATCCGTCCGTGGTGCCCGCGCCATGAAGTCGCGCTGAGGGAGCCCGCGGGGGCACGTCCTCGAGTCCTCCACAACTAGAGGCGGCTGCGAGAGCGGCCCTACGGTCACTGGGTACGGCCGCCGGCCCGCAGGGAAGAGACTAGGCCGCGGGGGGAGCCTGCCCTCGAGTGGCGGCGGGGGCCCAGGTCACCGCAAGGACACGCGGGAGCTGGCAGTGGCAGGCGGGTGCCTTACCGGCGGCGGGGCTGGGGGCCGGGGCGGAGTGCAGAAGGCCTCGAGGGCCAGCCCGGAAGGCTGCGGCTACGGCGCAGCGGCGGAGACCGGCGCCCAGCATGACAGCGATGGCGGCGCACAGGCTAAGGCTGAAGCTAAGCCGGGTATGAGCGCGCGGGCTGCTCCGAAGCTCGCGGGGGCCGGACTCACGCTCCGACGCACGGTAGGCGGAGCGTGCAGGCCCGCCCGCGGCGGCGCTCGCGCCCCGGCTGGAGGGGGCACCCCGCGGTTGCGGGCGGGCTACGGTGGCGCGTTGAGGACAAACCAGGTCGGCCCCTTCGCTGCTGGTCGCGTGACCTACGGCCGCCATTATGGAGCGAGGATGACGGGAAGGCGACGGGTGAGAAGACTGTATCTATGTTCCTAGTCGGCTCAAGAGGCGAGTCAGCCTCCTCAGAATGGGAACGATAACAATAATAACGACGTTAAGTTATAATAAGAATACTTCCTTGCTTACCACCAAGGTTTGAGCCTAAAATAAGAGAATGAATGGGAAAAGACTGCTTAATGTAAGAGTTTACAATGAATTATTCTTATGTCAGAGCCCAGGTGGCACAGTGGTTAAGAGCTATGGCTGCTAACCAGAAGTTTGGCAGTTTGAATCCACCAGCCGCTCCTTGGAAACCCGATGGGGCAGTTCTGCTCTGTCCTGTAGGGTCGTTATGAGTCGGAATCCACTGGACTGCAATGGGTTTTGGAGTTTATTCTTATATCACAAACCAGCAAGCATTAAAAAACGAGTCCAACCGTTTCACTTTACAGATAAGGAGACAGGCTCAGAAATTAGACTGTTAGCTGGTAATCCCCGCTCTTTATACAACATCCCCAGTTCCAAGGATTTTCACCTGGATGTTTCTGGCCAAACGCCCGCCACCGCTCCCTGCAGAAGGGTGCTGATCTACAGCAAACTGCTCTGAAACGGAGTTGATCAAGTGCCACGCCTCTTACATCTAATCTGGCCTCACTAACTGCATCTTGACTTTGAGTTCCTGGTCAGGCAGTAGAGCACCTTTCCCAGGCGTGAATTGTCTTGCCACCACCCAGAGTTGAAGAGATGGTCCCATTCGCCTTGGTATCGCTCATTCTCTAACCTTGAGACCATTGAGTAAAGAAGAGATGGACATTTAGGCCCCTCTTCCTCATTCCAGAGCCCTGGTGGCACAGTGGTTAAGAGCTCGGTGGCTAAGTTGGCAGTTCGAATCCACCAGCCGCTCCTTGGAAACCCTATGGGGCAGTTCACTCTGTCCTATAGGGTCACTATGAGTCGGAATTGACTTGATGGCGATGGGTTTGGTTTTTTTTTTCTGGGGTTCCTCATTCCTCGCCCACTCCATAGGGCATCAGCAGCTGCCCTCATTTTCATCCCTAGTGGTGTGGCTTTAGGAGATACGAACCTGGCTGAGAAAAGGATAAAAAAGTTTTTCCAAGTACCCGCCCTCACCCCCTCCCACCAGCCTAACCAAAGGACATCTGCGGAAGCTTTGACCTCTTTGCAGTTCAATTAATATTCCTCAAATCTCCCAAGACTGGAATCTCAGGATGAGGTCCAAAACCCAAACCCATTGCCGTCGAGTTGGTTCTGACTCATAGTGACTCTATAGGACAGGGAACTGCCCCATAGGACTTTCAAGGCTGTAATCTTTATGGAGGAGCCCTGGTGGTGTAGTGGTTAAGAGCCTGTGTGCTAACCAAAAGGTCGGCAGTTTGAATCCACCAGCATCTCCTTGGAAACCCTGTGGGGCAGTTCTTCTCTGTCCTATAGGGTTGCTATGAGTCAAAATCAGCTCGATGGTAGTGGGTAATCTTTATGGAAGCAGATTGCCACATCTTTCTCCTGCGGAGCAGCTGGTGGGTTCAAACTGTCGACCTTTTGGTTAGCAGCTGAGCACTTAACCACTACGCCACCAGAGTCCCTTAGGATAAGGCCAGGGCTCCGATAATTGAGAAGGCACTGGGGTCAATTGCAAATGAGTCCTAACTGGTCTCCCTGTTGTCAGAGTCTGTCCACTTTGCCAACAGTCCTTTAGATTGGCTACTGGAGTGTTTTATTTTTTTTTTTAATATACAATTGTGACTATAATTTTTATGTGGCCACTGTATGCCATCAACTATTTATTATCCTATCTAAGCCTCTTAACAACCCTAAGATAAGTATTCCTATTTTATGGATGAAGGAATAGATTCAAAGGATACTTGCCCAAGAGTCAAAAACCCATTGCCGTTGAGTTGATTCCAACTTATAGCAACCCTGTAGAATCATACAGCTAATAAATAGTGGTCCTTAGAGTTGAACCCAGACTTGTCTGACTCCAGAACTGTTTTCTTTCCCCACCACCACTGAAAGTAGTCTTTGCTAACCTCTCAGTGAATGCTGAACCCCCTGCTACCTTCAGGGAAGTTCTCAGCCTTTATCACCTGTATTTTCTATTGCTGCATAACAGTTTACTGCAGACTTCTTGTTGTTGTTGTCAGGTGCCATCAAGTCAGTTCCAACTCTAGCGACCCTATGCACAGCAGAACAAAACACTGCCTGGTCCCACACCATCCTCACAACCCCTGCCGTGCTTGAGCCCACTGTTGCAGCCACTGTGTCAGTCCATCTCATTGAGGGTCCTTTTCTTTTTCCATGGCCCTCTACCAAGCATGATGTCCTTCTCCAGGGACTGGTCCCTCCTGTAACATGTCCAAAGTATGTGAGACAAAGGCTTGCCATGCTTGTTTCTAAAGAGCATTCTGACTACTTGTTCCAAGACAGATTTGTTTGTTCTTCTGGCATTCCGTGGTATATTCATATTGGTCACCAGGACCATAATTCAAAGGCATGAGTTCTTCTTTTTTCATCCTTATTCATTGTCCAGCTTTACATGCATATGAGGTGGTTGAAAACACCATAGCACAAACTTAGCAGCTTAAAACAACACCCATTTATTATCTCCTAATTTCTGCAGGTCAGAAGTCTAGGCATAAGTGTGTTCTCTGCCCAGGGTCTCACAAGGCTGAAATCAAGATATCAGCCAGGTCTGGAGGCTGGGGTTCTCTTCCAAGCTCATTCACGTTGTTGGCAGAAACCAGTTCCTTGTCGTTTAGGACTGAGTCCCCATTTTTTCTTACTAGCAGTCGGCTGAGAACCACTTACAGCTCTTAAAGGCCACGTTCAGATCCTTGATGCATGGCCGTTTCCATAGGCCCTCTCACAACACTGCAGCTTCTTTCTTCAAGCCAGCAGGAGAGTATTTCTCTGACACTTCACCCTGAATGACTTCACAAGATTAGGTCAGGTCCACCAAGGATAATCTCCCTTTTGATTAACTGAAAGTCAACTGATTAGTACCCTAATCTCAGGAATGATATCCCATCAAATTCATAGGTTCTGCCTCCCACTCAAGGGGATTATACAAGGCATGTACACCAGGAGAAGTAAATCTTGGGGGTCACCTCAGAATTAAACCTATCACAACACTTAGGTAGAGGAGCCCCTGCCAGTTGCCAAGACTGCCCCCAAGTATGTTTCCAGGTCCCAGCCGTTCTGCTGCTTCTAGAAGGTGTCCCTCCAGACAGTTTTAGAGCTGACTCTTGGCCCTTGCCCAAGGCCATCAGGGTCTTTTGTCCCTTCTTGCCACCTCCTGCCCTGAAATCCTGTGCTGTTCTTCTGGAGAAGCAGCAGCTGGACTTCTGATGCCTCAGGGATGTCATC